CCCCCATTCATCATTATCTTGGAAACTGACCATTTAGTGGAGTGACCCCTCCCTCCGCTCATCACTGTCTAGGACTCTGACCATTGACTTGACCACCTCTCACCACTGTGTGCAGTGGAATTATCGTACTACGCCACAGGCCCGACGTCAAACAAACTGCTGGTGAAACGTTTGTGGCTGCGGGCATCCCTAGTTGTTTGTTTCTTGTTGTTTTGTTTGTTTTTGTTGGGGGGGGGGGGGTCTCCTCCCATCGAGGTAGCGGTATTCCGGGTAGTTGGGTGTGAGGCTGGCGGCTGACACGACGGACGTGATCAGAACCCTTTACGTTCTTCTACTACTCTGAGCGTTTAGCAAAGATGTTGGAGGTATTACAAGAGAGTAGCATACCAAGACAAGGACTCTAAAGGAGACATGATGGCGGTACATGTGTGCTGACAGTTTCATTACATGTAGGCCTACTATGATAATAGAAGGAAAAAACGCAAGTGGAAAAGGGGTGGGGTGGAAAGCGGTCGTTTGTACGGGTGATTGTAGATGGTCGTTTGTACAGGTGATTGTCTTATACATGTGGCCGTTTGTACAGGTGATTGTCTTATACATGTGGTCGTTTGTACAGGTGCTTGTCTTATACAGATGGCCATTTGTACAGGTGATTGTCTTATACAGGTGGTCGTTTGTACAGGTGATTGTCTTATACAGGAGGTCGTTTGTACAGGTGATTGTCTTATACAGGTGAGTGTCTTATACAGGTGATCGTTAGATCCGGTTGGACTACAGTATGAGACAGAATGTAATATCACGTTCCTCACATTGGTGAATGGGCGTGGGGGGGGGGGGTGCATGGGACCAAGATCTAAAAATATAATTTTATACTTACCCCGGTGTCCGTGTTGTGTCCAATTTGATGACTAATGGTGACGTTCGGTTTTTCACAGAGTCAGAGCCGAGCGGGTGAGGTGGTTACTGTACACCGTGCTGTAGGGAAAAAAACACACAATTTTTCTGTCTTCTGTTCAAGAATGATGTGGGGGCGCAGGAGGGGCTGAGGTGGGTGAGGGGAGGGGGGGGGGAGAAATAATGTGGCAAGGAGAGGCTGAGGTAGACCCACATGTGTGCTGAATGTCTTCCGATGCGCGCATTTTTCTGAAATCTTTATTTCGGTAGGGTTTATTTATAAGGGACATTGAGCATATATTTGTCTTTGAGTGAAGCTTGTTTTTGTTTTGGCAAGAGTTTTACGGCGCTCCGAACTGCATAATAAGGACATATGAGCTCGCTAAAAAAGTTGGTTCTGTTCGTAACAGAGTGAAGCTTGTGTCATTTTAAGACTTCCGTTTTCTGTATTACACTTGCCACTTGTATTTCTATCAACTGGTAAAGAATGATTTCTTGTTGTGGTTTTTTCTTCTTATTATGTTTTAAAAGAGTGGCGTGGATACATGGTAACGTGTTCTTGTTTATGTCTCGACCACGTAGAATTCAGCCGCTGACTTGGGAGAGAAGTCAGCAGAGGTCTCTCTCTCTCTCTCTCTCTCTCTCTCTCTCTCTCTCTCTCTCTCTCTCT